CTGCCTGTGCGCGTCCCTGTGCATGTGCGCTGTCTGACAGCTTCCTGTTTCATTAGTCATGTAAATGAGGGGTGAGGTAATCCTGTGACAAGTTTCGGATGATGCACAGTATGCTAAAATGTTATATTTTTATCCAAACTTCTATTAATTTTAATATTTTACTGCTACAGTGCTGTGGTGCTGACATAAAATTGTTTGATAAATGATAAACTGTATTTTTATGGTGGAGCTTCTTTACATTGTGCATAAACACTGCTCGACTAAAAAAAAAAGATCTTAGGCTGCATTTTTTTATTTAAACAACTATATTATATTATTTAGGAAAGATATCAATTTGAAAATTTTACTTTTTTTGTTTATTTGCATTCATTTATATATCAGATCTGAATGGATTTCATGTGTGGAATCATTGCACACAGGAGCAATAATATTAATCCTTTACTCCATGCAGCTAAAATCGTTGGATTTTGCGCTGTGTTTTTCACAGGATAGGATAATTGTTAATATATTCCACATTTGCACAGTCCAACATACAAAGTCCAGTTTTTGGGGCTGTTTTTAGCTGCTTGGAGATGAGGGCCTCTGAACAAAGACAGTATTTCACTGCAGCTTGACAGGCAGCTGCGAAAGTATTTACAGCCTTACTGCAATGCGGCAAAATGGACCCTGCTATAGAGGAGAGGTGCAAAGCTTGAGAAAATTAGGCAGCTTTCGCCTAGACAAAGATTTTATGGACGATTATACAACCTAAATGCTTGAGAGGAATTAAACCACTGGATTAGATTTAGCATGTATATTAACTGATGTGTTTTTTAATCTGTTGGATTTTTTAACATTGTTTTATGGGGAGAGGTTTGGTTGGTAAACTGTTTTTTTAATTAGTAATATTCAAAGGTGCTTTCAGTTTAACCTACTTTAACATAATTCTTTCAGGTGTTTTATTTTCATTTTATTTTATTAAAACGTGCTTTTATCCCCAGAATCACCTTCAGTTTGTCCTGTAAACCAATTTCATACCAAAAACTGCAATTTTAACTTATATTGATATTAATACATTTATCAAATAATGAAACATAAAATTATGCTTTTGCAGTTGTTTTTCTCAACATATTGTGCCATTTTGGGAATTAATGCAACTTGAACAACAAAACATTACCTTCCATCATGTCATTTGATACATGACTATTTGTTTGCAGTCGTATTGTTCAATAACTCTCTACTGATGCACTTCTGCGTCACTGAATGTCCTTTATCATTGGGTTGTTTGGCCTTAATGTAGAAATGCATCCTTTTGCAGTGGGAAAAGAGTGTAAATTTCCAGCAGAAGGCGCTGTTGCCCAACACTCAGCCTCTCGACTCTTTTACAAGCTACTTCCTTGTGAACAGTGAATGGATGGGTTGAGAGTCATGTGGTCTAGCTTGTCTTTGAGTGGGATTTTTGAAATAACAAAAAATGTTAATTTCAGATTATCCACACAGAAAATATGATGTGCTGACAGAAACTTGACCCCTTTCTTTGCTATAAAAAGAGAAATGCACCTTTTTTATATAAAACATTTTCATGGAGATGTCATTCATTATGAGGCCTTTATATTGACTGCAGAGGTTAATTATAGAATATCTTTAAAATAACTGATATAGAACAACAAACACATCAATGAGGGAATCTAATAACAGAAGAACTTTTATATAAGGAAATCTTTTCAGAGTTCCTGTATTTGTTCAGCTAGTGTAGGAGGAGCAAAGGCTGGCTGCAGTCAGGGATTGGTGGAAGAATAAATGACATCAGTCTTGTTGCAAGCGCACTTGGGAGATAAATGCACTTGAGACACTGCTAAGAAGGAAATTAAAGGTCAAAAGCTTTAAGTACAGATGTAAGCTAAAATTAGAAATAAACAACCCTATGTTATTAAATCAAATAATTTTGCACATATCTGTTTGCATCGTTATTAATAACACTGATAAATATTTAAGAATGTAAATTTAAGTAATGCTGCCAAATACTTTTCTCTCTCTAATCAGCTTCTCCATTTCTGCTCATTCTTCCCTCCTGCAGGGAGCATTAATGCAATCTGCATTATTGAGCAAGTGCAACTTTGAGGGTTATTTATGGGCCCGCGCAGCGTCGTGAATGGCTGTGAGAAAGCACGTGACGCCATTAAAGTTTGTTTTATGGCCTGGGACTTGACAAGCCAAAATATAATTCTCATTGTGTATAAGTGAGCGCGTCCAGATGGGCTGGAATAGTGTTCCCAATGACATACAAAGAAGGGAGCTCCACCGGCTTGAATTTTATCCTTTTTTTCCTCCACTGTGGATGTGTTTTTGGCGCAGGGTGCACCATGTGTTCCAGTCTCTATGGTAAGCTCTGTTTTATCATTGTGCTATGGGCGTGTGATGTCACATGCGTAATGCTCAGGCTGAACCGTTTCCTGTCTGTAAAAGCTGGATTTGCACGGGGCTGGGAGCTAACGCCGCAACTCGTTGATGTGTGGGAGTTGAGCTTGATGTTATTACTCTGCGTAAACAAGAGGCCTGGCTAAACAATATGCTTTGATTTTTCACCTTGTTTTCTGTTTGTCTTCAAAAATGCAAAAACATCTGACAATCCTATTTTTGTCTTAATATGGCTGCTGTTTTAGATTTTATTTAGCTTTTAGACTGCTCAAAAACAGGTTTGGATTTGTTTTCTGTTATTTACAGTCAATTCAATATTTTTTTGAGAGAATAGCTGTCTGACCGTGCTGTATCAGAATATGGTTTCAGATTAAAAGAAAGGCTTCTCAGAAAGGCTGCCTTTTGGTCAAGCAGCAGGAAATGCTGACTTTATCATTCCTTTTGTTGTGACTCTCGGCTTTGACCCGTCTGGACGACTAGCAGGGAAGGTGAAAGGCAGGTCAGGGCGTCTTATATTATAACCCGAAGTAGGAAAGGAGGTTTTTATATTTCCCATATTATAGCTGCCGCACATACATTAATTGTTGTCCTAAATGAAAAACAATAAAACAAATAAGGTCCCCAATTCTTCTTTTGTTTTCTCAGTTACATTAATGTGTAAAACATGGAACTCGTTGGCAGAAAGTTCTTTAAAATGTTTATATATATATATATATTTTTTAGGCTTACTTCGGTTATATTAAGGCCTTATGAATTAACCCCTCAACGCACAAAAACACTAATAATAAGTTTTATTAAATTAAACGTTTTGCAGTGAATAATTTGCTTAATTCCGGACGTCTTTAGTCATCTATCTATCTTTTTATTCATTTGTTTGATTATGATTGTGATCCAATCTTTATAGTCTAATTGTAAATGTAATTTTTTTTCTCGATTTTCGATCCAAGAATCCTCCCTCTAAGTACCCAACGTTTATTTGGATTATTGCTTTTTTAAATTATTATTATTATTGTTATCCTTTAACTATTTAAATCGTCGGTTTGATGCAAAATATCTTTAAAAACACATTTTCTCCGTTGTATCTAATTTGTGAAGTACTGGATTTAAATTAAAGTAACTAAAATCCAGAATTGAAGTAATTTAAATCCAGTGCAGGCCTCTCGCCGTGGTACGCCGCTATGGCTGCTTTGGGGTATCAGCTGGGGAGGATTTGGTAAACTTTTGCACCCTTTTGAGCTGTCAGCAGCAGCAAAAATAATTAAAGTTTTTGATAGTTTTGTAAATGATTCTGGTTGACCCTGCTGGCCTTTAGCCTCATCTTTCGGCCAGTCGGTGATAAGAGCCTCAAGATCATCCAGCAGCCACACGAAGCGTCTGGGGGCTTATCTGCTCATGCGCCCAAAGTGGTGCTGAACTGTTTGACAAAAGCTTTAAGTCCTATATCAGAAGTTTGGAAGATTTTAACGACCCCTCAGATATTTAGAACGTTTTTTAGTCTCTATTCGTTGGTGGGATGGTTGTTTATTGGGATGAACTTGGGCTTTTTGAAGGGGATAAGAACAATGATGAAGTATGTTTTTTATGTTTATGCCTTAGGGCTTTATTTATTTATTTCTTTATTTATTTTCTGTATCTACAATTTCATTTATTTATTCAATCTCACATAAAATTTAGGATTTTTTATAGAACAGTAACAGTAAATTAAAGATTTTAAAATGCAAATGTTTTATAACTTTTAACCTTTTCCGTCATCTGCACAATACTCAAAAACACCACTATATATATATATATATATATATATATATATATATATATATATATATATATATATATATATGGGCGATTCTTCTTAATTGCCAATGTTAGTTGGTTTGATGAAAACATGCATAAGGGTTAATGCATATAGTCAAAATTGGAATGATATGTGTCATCTATCAATTAGATAATATTATAGGGTTTTATTCTGCTTTTTCTTAGGAATGCCAAATTTTTTATTTGCACATCCAATGTAAAAGGCCCTTAAAAAGTTATTTGGCTTTGCATAGGTTTTCAAATGTTGCGTTGTACGCCTTTTTTATCTTATTTTATTTCATCTTATCTTATCTTATCTTATCTTATCTTATGGGGTACTTACTGCTGTGCATGTGAAACACTGATGCCTTGGAGAGTGTCACTTCCCGTCGTCTATATATACCCTGTAGAACCGAATTTGTGTGATGGAACCAGATTCACAGATTCGTTTCTAGGGGAGTATATGGTCGATGAAAAACCTTCAAAACCCTGAGTTATGGGCTTCTGAGGCCCAAAGTATTGTTACAGTAAAAGTCCTAGTAAATCTTAACAACACATTACTCACAGAAACACAATGGGATTCTGGTGAGAGTGAATAATTTGATCAGGAAAGTGTCTGTTTTTGAGGTTGCTGTTTCTTTTTTTGGAATGAGAATCCAAATGCATTAAGTAAAAAGAAGCTTCAGCCCGCTCCAGCTGTGGCTTTTGGCTCTTGTGTCTCCACATTATTGATTTGCAGAGGAGTGCTGCTGCTGTTGCTGCTGCCCAATAGAAATTTTGGGCAGCAGCAACGGTTTAAAAGGAAACAAACGGTTTAAAAAGAGAAAGACAGGGGCAGATGAAGGGATGAGATTGGTGTAACTTTTGGATGACCCCTTCATGACAAAGCCACTGTCCATCAATTGTCCCTGGTCATTATTTCACTGCTTTTATGCCAAGGGGCTTTTTGTAGCTTTTGTTGGTCCCTCTGTTGAACACCATGCTTTCAAGTAACTTTTCTATCTTTTATATATCTGCTTTTGTAAAACTTAAACCTGCAAGATATTTCTAAATAATTCTATGCAAATGTTCTCATAATTGTGCAAATGGTTTACATTTTTATTTAATTTTTTTTATTGTTGTTGTTGTTTTTTGTGTGCATTTTAAATTTTGGTATTGCTTACTCACTAATGCAGCAGTTTTAGATGTTTGTTTATTCTGATGAATCTTATCTAGGTGTGTCTTCATTTAGGCAAGATCCCATTTAGTTGTATGTTTACTCGTGTTTGGACCCGCATCACCTCCATTGGCCGCTCTGGTCACATGGTTCGCTAACTTTATTCAGTTGACACCAAGTAGGAGGGCTCTATGGAGGAGAGGAAAAAAAGACAACTCGAGAAAAATTAGTATTTTCTACCTTCAGAAATTAATGGCCATGAGTTCGTATATGGTGAACTCTAAGTATGTGGATCCCAAATTTCCTCCCTGCGAGGAATACTCGCAGAACAACTATATACCTGAGCAGGGCTCGGACTTCTATAGCCCGGCGCAGGACGCGGACTTCCAGCACCCAGGGATCCTCTATCCGCGATCAAACTACACAGAGCAGCCGTTCAACTGCAGCCCCGTGTCGGACTCCGCGGTGCAGCCCCGGGGTCATCCCGGGCACACGGCCCACTTTGGGGCACAGACTGAGCAAGGGCCCCCAGTCCAAAACACCGGACCTCGGACTTGTGGGCTGCAGCAAAACGCAAAGAATCAGAATGGGATCCAAGCCAAGCAACCTGCAGTAGTTTACCCTTGGATGAAGAAAGTTCATGTAACTACTGGTAAGATTTACTTTCCTGTTTTTCCCTGTTGGTAGTTATAGGAAGTCATTTAATGTAATATTTATGGGCGTCTTTCAAAGGCCTAGACAATTACACTAGTCATAAATTTTTATAGCTGAGGAAATAGGCCACAGAAAGCTTCAGAGGGCACATACTGGCCACCAGTGCATGTATCTGAGGAGGAAATGTTTAAAAGTTTTTTTTGTTCTTTTAAACTAATCAATGGGCTTCTTATTTTTGCGTTTTACACTTTTTTATGGATTTTTTGCGCACTGACAACAGCTACTTTCTTTGTTTTGTTTGTTGTTGTTTTTTGTTTCTTTTTTGCCTGCATGCTTCAGTTGGTGACATGCGGTAACTCTTGATTTATTCTCTCCTCCTTCCTCTTCTTGTTGTTTTCCAAACCAGTGAACCCCGACTACACGGGATCAGAGCCCAAACGCTCCAGAACCGCATATACTCGGCAGCAGGTCTTGGAGCTGGAGAAGGAGTTCCACTTTAATCGCTATTTGACCAGACGGCGGCGGATCGAGATTGCCCACACACTCTGTCTGTCCGAGAGACAGATAAAAATCTGGTTCCAGAACCGACGGATGAAGTGGAAGAAGGACCACAAGCTTCCCAACACCAAAGGCAGATCCGCGCCGGCCTCTGGCCATTTGCAAAACCATCAGAAGGACAACCAGACTGATATAACAGCGTTATAAAGGACATAGGAGGAGGTTTCAGGACACATATTTTGTACATAAACAAAGACAAAAGCTGCATTTCGACTTTTGCATGGACTGGTGTCGTTTGTGAATTTTTTTTTAATTTAACAAAATTGATTCCAGCAATTTTGACCCAAGAATGAATCAGAAAACCAATCGTTTTCTTTTACTGAGAGGTTGGAAATATTTCTTACTTATATTTAATTTCATCACAGTCAGAAAATAATGTTTTTTTATATTTGTATTGGGCCTATAATGATTTATTTAATGTTTAATTTCACGAATATAGGCCAACTGTTTCCTCTTACATAAATTTCAGTGTTTCCTTTTTTCTGTTTTCTTATATTACATCAATGAGGCAAGACCCTCGCTTTTTATCTTTTCTTTTTCATCCCACAAAACGCACAATATAGGTACTTGAAGGAAGCGTTATTTGCATAAACACTCGTAGAACTTTCTTTCCAAAAAAAAAAAAAAAGAAAAAAAATATATTTTTCATTCTGTAACTTGTTTGTTTAACTTATTTTGTAAAAAATTATCTTAGCTCATATATTATTCCCAGACCTAAGACATTCCCGCGCGGAAAGGATTCCGAGTGCCCTTATAAATCTCCCTTGACATCTTTGTAAACAGTGTACATTTTCAGAAAACTCTCTCTCACATGAAAGATTATTTGTTCTTGCATGGCACCAAAATTGCATTTCTTTTTTAGAAACTCCCCAAATCCTGAATATTAGGAATGTATGTCTATTTTCCCTTGATTATTACTTATTTATTTGATGAAGAAAATGTAAATCTTCGCAAAGCACACGCGTTTACTCAAAAATTTCGTTAAAAAGTTTCTTTTTTAATAAAAATTAGTAGGTTTTGCTCATTTTAGCATGTCTTTCTGAAAACTTTCGATCAAAAATATGATAATTTTTTTTGGTAACACCAAACCAACCGAGTGGAGGAAGGGAGCGCTTTCAGGTCACTCATCGGGGCAAATATTTCTTGTTTTAGGCCGTCATTGTGCTCGAACAACAACAAGAAAAGGCCAATCGTTTTCCCAGTGCGAGGAGCTCTCTTTTCTTAAGTCTTTCTGAACAGAGAACTGAAAAGGTATTTCAGCCGAAGATCGACAAAAGCAGCTAAACCAGGTTCATCCAGGGGACACATTTCAGCCGCAAGGACTGACCCCAGCACCTCCTGACCCGCCGGACAGGCAACATTTTCTCTCCCAGGCGCTACTTCAGTTTGGAGGAGAAAAAGCCTGTCAGACTGCCTAAAAAAAAAAAGAAGAAGCTAAAGCTCATTCACAGTAAAGAGCCAGTGAATTCCGCAGTTTTACACGTGTTTTAACAGTATTTATATTACCCCTCCCCTGCCTAAGGAGGCTCTGATTTGTATTTGTCTTCCTGCATTTGTCAATATGCAATTCTTTCCCTCAATTTTTATTTTTGTAAATGCTTTTTACTTTGTACGGTGCTTTGAGATGTAAGAATTATATAAATAATAAAGATTTCTACTGATTATTAGTTTGAATATTGGCAAAATAAGTTTTATAGTTTTTATTATTATTTATTTCCTTCACCCGGCAATGAAACATAACGCAGATTGGGAGATAATTCATTCAAAATAAAAGGGCTATTTAAAATCTGTCAGCTCATTTTGACACACATTTATATATATATATATATATATATATATATATATATATATATATATATATATATATATATATATATATATATATATATATATATATATATATATATATATATATATATATATATATATATATATTTGTGTGTATACACGTTCTAGCAAGAAGATCACCCCTTGAGGCTAAACACATGGAGGCTTTCAGAAAATACTTACAAATGGGGCAAATGCGCACTGCATGGGTTTATAAAGCCTTCTGTCCTTATAAAATGTGACTTTCACAAACAACAATGTTTCATCTGTTCGCATTAGGGGGAAGCTCTGTTTTTACATGAAAAGAGGATTGATTCATATATATATATATATATATATATATATATATATATATATATATATATATATATATATATATATATATATATATATATATATGTGTGTGTGTATCTTTTAGATATATCTGTAGATCCTTTCTAAAAGGATCTACAGATGTCCCCCCCAAGTCAATATAAGTCATTAAAAAGAGTCGAAGGGACAAAAAAAACACATTGCAAGGAGACCTTACTAAATATTGATATTTTATTTTAGATCAAAATCAATTTTTGAGTTAACATATTCTGAATAGAGTTTACAAATTAGTGTGAACACCCCCCCCCCCTCCCACCCCCACAAAAAAAAAAAAAAATCCAGTAAGTACTTTTAATATTCAGCATAAGCACCTAAATACTCCAATTTGCTGATCTAATTGAACATGCCAATGTTCTTTTCCCGTTGCGGTTCCAAAACGATAAAGTCTTCCCTGCAGAATTGATCAAAAGTAAGAAGAATAATACTGAAAAAAAAAAAAAAAAAAAAAAATTTAATATCTTTGTTTTTATTGAAACCCAAGACAAAAACAAAATCCAATCACACATACTTGCATCTTTCCAAAAACCACATTGCCCCCTATCATGGCTACATATCATGAAAACACATTGTATTTTTTCATTTCTACCGTTAAGATACACAGACATAGAACGGGGCACTGTGCTTATTTCAGCTGTGGCTTTATTGGGGATGTCTCTCTGCAGCAGTGACCTCCGACCCTTCACTCTAAGAATCAACTCTGATACAAACAAAGCGGCTATAAACAGACATGTGGAAAGACAATCTGCAGTCCTCCCTCTATCGTTTCCATTTACTCATGCTCCTATGTGTGCAACCTAAGCATGTGTGATATACATACAGAGATGAAATGATATAGGCACATATAATCCTGTAGATGACTTAATATGCATTACTGCTCCATTGGTATAAGTGTGTGCATTTTATTTTACTCATTATTTAGTGGAATCCCTCTACATTGTATGCAGCTGCTGGAACTGCAACAAGAAAATAAAATCAAACAACTCTGTTAGCGGGTCAGAACAGCCCATAATATACAGCGTGCAGCCACACTGACCTACATGTCTGAACAGCAATAAATGGGAGCCAAAGGCAGTGCCATTTTCAATGACACTGCAACCAGTGCACAGGAACACAGCGCTGCTGCTCTCCATCCGGCCATATTTGATTTCCAGCTGTTGGTTCACAGAAGCCTCTCCGAGCCAGACAGGCAACCGACCAACCAACCCCCCCTTTAAGATAATATTAAAGTGCTCCGTCTGCATTCAGAAATATAATCCAGAGAACATACCACTCCGCTTCTCTGTTCTCTAACCACGTGATTGTCTAAATAATTAATGCAGCACGTCCCCCTAGAAACACGGCGTCGTCATTAATCGCAAGGACTCTATCAGAGTTGAAAACTGAAGAGATCCCCCCTCCAAAGAAAATAATATCCGATACTCGGCGCGACTGTTAGCTGCGGCTCTGAACCGATGGATGCTCGGGTAGGTAAATATTTCAGCATCTTTCATGTTGCCTCAGCTTGGCAAATGACGATATCAAATGTCGATGATATTTGATGTATTGCACCCCCTTCTCTGTTGTGTGCGCTCCTGCATGGGCGCAAATGTTTAAGCTGCGGATTATGGTGTCTACAAGCCTATTTCCTCCTTCTTTTTTTATTATTATTTTTTATCATTACATTTGTTTAAGATTCACTGTTTTTAAGCGTTTATATTGACTGAATTTAGGGGTGTAATCATAATATGTAGTGATAGTCCGTTTATTTATTATTTTTGCATTCTTTAATATATCTTAAACGAGCATTTAAGGATGTAAAGTTATTTTTTTTAGGACTTTAAAATGACACTCAGGAGTGAGTTATAAATTGATGTTGATTTATAGGATATTGTAGCAGCATAAGATGAATAGCTGCTCATGCATCTTTTTTATTTTCGGGCATTTATGTCTTAATATTTTTATTCTTAGAAGGGCATTGTTTGCATTGGGTTCATCAGAAGTGCTGGAGGTTTGGACCGCCTGACAGTTCTGCCTCCTTGTAAATCACTCCCAGTAATTCCTGAAAAGGTGCGAGGGAGACTGTTTGGGGGGCCGGCCGAAAACTGTAAATCTTTCACTTTTATTACCCCTCTGTACATATGCCGGTGACGCTGTACAAGCTCTGCAACCCCTTCTTCTTTTCTTGTTCTGCAGCGAGAACAACCCGCCGCTCAACAAACCAGCTTGCAGTTGCGAGATGCATCTCTGCTAATCCATTTTAGTTTTCCAATGCATTTTTTTTTATTATTATTATTTGGCGTCATTCCCTTTATTTGATGATTAATACGGAAAACAATGCAAGAGAAGCCGAGCATGCTCCAGTGGCTCTTTGTGCTGCAAGCAGGGGTTGAAGATAGACACACATACACAGAGACAAATAACAAACGCAGGATGATAATGTGTTTTATTTGAATACAATCCAGGAACAGCTGCAAGAAAACCTATCGTGTAATTTATTTCATAAATCATTGTAAAATACAAATGGCACACCAGTGATCTGCAGAAATGCCACTCTCCATGGGTGATGCGTCAAAAGCACTCTTCTTATTTTTTATTTATAAATTCCTTGCAAAATGTATTAATCTTAAAAGCCTTTATCAAAGTACTCTCATTGCAACGCAAAATTGCCTTATCATCATACATGGTTATTGCATAGATTATAGAATAGCTGTTATCAAAATGCAATAATAGGGACTGATAATAGATACAAAAAACAGCAAACAGTCCTGCCTTTAAATATTGAGGCATGCGGGTTGCAGTCCTTGATATTCAAAGAAGTAGGAACATTTTCTCAATCACAAACCTCAGACGAGCATATAAACGCCACCCTTTATCAAAGTGGACCGGTAGGAGCTCCCTGCATGAGGAAGAGGGCAAATCACGTGAACACATATGCTTGTTTCTAAAAGGCAGTGCCATTTTATTTGTCATCATAAAAGCTTCAGAAACAAGCCCCCCCAAAAAATCCCAATCTACACAGGCCTATCCTCGATATCTCACTGGTTGATTGATTGCCAGTGGATTTTTTTTTCTGTTTCCCCCCTCTTCCTTGGAATAAGGATACCTGGTTCGCTTTTTTTTATTCCATTCTTTCGGGAATACTGTCTCCAACCGGTGTATGGAAATGTTGGAAAAACAGCAAGATCAGGTTTAGGACAGTACCGTCTGCAGACAGGGGGAAAAAAAGAGGGGTGAAGGATTTATTCTAGAAGCTGCACGGAGAGGAAGTCAGAGCTGTGAGGCAGCCGCTTTTTGATGAATTGATTCGCAGGTAAGCAAATGCATGGCGAGAAAGAAACCTTCAACAGCGGGTTAATACAATGCAAATGATTTTTTTCTCTCATATTCTGATGCATTTCATCTGGGAGGTTATGCTTGTTAAATGAGTGGATATGCAACAACTCTTCATATAACCACCTATAGGCCTATATATAAATATAGTTTCCCATTCGAATACTATCGACAGAATGAGACCTGTTCTTTTCAGCCCATTATGGAAGCTTGATCGGAGGGAGAAGAAGAGAAGAGTAGGAGGAACTTTTCTTTTTTGAGTCCTGGATCGTAAATCACATTAATTTGTTGTCTTATCGTCACACTGGCGTTTGCTCTGATTTATGTGGTTTCTGTTCCATATGGCTTTGTCAGCTTGCAACATTTTATATGTTGTACTGATTTGTGCTCGAGGTTTCTTTAAGGGTTTTGACAAATAGCAAAAGACAAATATATATGTATTTTTTTTTTAAGTTAACAATGCATTAATTGAGTGATATTTGCCTTCTTTACATGGTTTTGTCTGTAATTCAAATATAAAAGCGCCAAGATGTAACCTTATTCTAGTTCATTTAATTCAAATACTTATTTTACAGCTCTATTTCCACAGCAATTTTAAATTACTTGATTTCTACAGAAAAAAAATATACATATAGCCTATTGCATGCAAAATAATAGATATTTTCTTTGCAGCAAACTCAAAATCACATTTTTCCTCCTTTTTGGAAAGTATGTGTATTCAACAGAAATATTAAGAAGGTTTTGGAAGGTCTGAACGACTGCGTGAGATAATAATACTTCTCTTTGAGTCCCGACCCATTGTGTTGATCAAACTTACCGTGACAACGCGTAGGCGAAAAACACAGTTCGTGTGAAAAGGGAGGCTTGTCTGCTACTAGTAACTCGGGGTGCTCAACAGCAACTGGAGGGCGAAAATTATCGAGCGAGCCTCCCAATATATTTCACACAATGCAATAAAAATAATCAGACAAATTAAAAATAATAATAAATTGGTTTGTGCCACAACAGGCTTGCATGGTGCCCTCCTAGTAATTAAAAAGGAATTAAAAAAATAATAAAAATCTCGCGTTAAATTTCCAGCCGACCATATCCCCTTGTCTCTCTTAGCAGAAAGAAACTGATCTGAATTTGGTGGCGACTTTTAGCTCCTTGAGCCAAAAAAGCTCGTTGTTCATTAAACTTTGGCTTAATGCAGAATGACCCAAAGGTCACCTAAAAACGCTTATGACTGCTAGATATTTGGCCCGTCGCTTTGTGCGAAAGTGCATATGTAAGACTTTTCATTCTTGAAAGGAAGAAAAAAAAAAGTTGGGTGGTTATTAGATGAGTTTAGGAAAATTCTATTGGTTTTTTTAAAGCTTTAAATTAATTTAATTGTTTTATTGGAGTTTCTTCGAATAAAAAAAATATATTTTAATGTCAATTTAAGATGAAACATGAAGGATTTATTACTGAAACAAAAAAAAAATCACTAAGATATTATTTTTAACACTTATTTGTGTTCCAGGTCGAGATGGAGGCGGTGATGAATGCGTGAGCGTTATAAAAGAGATCTGCGCAGATTTTGGTGAGTAACATTTTATTTAATTGATAAACGAGATACCAAACTAAAACATGCGCTAACAAGGCGATGCGTTATGTGGCGGCACATTTAAGCTCCCCAGTGTTTCGTAGAAGAATTGGATCAAAGGAAGGCATGAAGAATGACGCGTAAATCTTTACGCAGGCCATATTTCCATTTTCTGCAAGTCCACTTGAAGAACAAAACAAGAACAGGAACTGAAAATAAATTCCTCTTTTGTTAATCGCTTGTTGTGTTGCTATAAAACGAAATAAACAAATAGGATAAAATAAAAACGAAAATAAAGAATATAAAGGGAAAATTACGCAATTTTATCCAAACTCGTAGGTTAAAAAAAATACAACAAAATTGACTCCGTTTGTCCTGCTACAGCTGCTGGCTCGCAGTGCAGAGGCAGAATGGAGGCAGAATCGTTTACAAACGGGGTAGACCTGCTTGGCTCAAATTCTTTCACTTTGCCTTCCTCCTACGCTTAGTTTTGTACTTCTGACGGGCTGTAGACTCTCAGGGAGTGTTTTGCTTTTTCATTCCTCTCTGAGGCCGTTTTACAACCAGGACATTTGCGGCCATAAATTTCGCCGCGGTCCGCACTGACAGGTGCAATTGTTATGCGCGGCGCAGACTGCAGACCTCCCGAAGACACCATCGTACAGTAAACGCGAGTCTTTGATGTTTTTTGCCTTGGGTTAAAAATGTTCTTATCCGCATTTTTTTTTTTTTTACCAGTCATATTTATATTACACCAAGTATGCTATTAAAACATTTATCTATTTTTATTTTTTTTTTGATAATGAAATCAATTAGAAAAAAATAGTTTGGGGAGTGGAAGGAAGAATAAAAAATAAAATAATAAATAAATTAATTAATAAAGCGTGGATCATATGGAAACATAAAAATGTGACATTGCCCAAGTTATAATGAATAATCCATGTCCCACCATGACACGCTGCATCCTTTCTTTGCTATCTTTCTCTCCCGCTCTCTTTTTTTTCTTTCTCCATTTCACGAGCACGCTCGATCCATCGTGCACGCTCACGCAAAGCCCACCCCCGTTCATAATTCCCCTAATATCAGCCTCTGGCGTGCGTAAAAATGGATCCTTGAATGCGTGTGCGCGGAAACAACAATGAGTGCGCTGCGGGCTTTGTGAGGCCTGTGATTACTGAAAAGGGCATTGTGTTTATGTGTGTGACAAATGCTGATTCAACTTAATTGTGAGCAACTACTAAAGCCTCCCAGAGGGTCCCTTTTTGTAAAAAGTTAAACTTTAACTGCTTTGTAGCAAAAAAGAGTAAGATGACAGGAGTTTAAAGCTGGATAAATGTTAGAGTTTAACATGTAAGTGCTTTAAAGACCAGCAAATGTGATTCTCTCAGTTAAATGCTGAATTGACTTTGATAATGATAATTTATCCTCAAAATAGGTGCTAAAGTTATAATAAGTGATATTTGTCTACCTACAGCTCACAGACTGGAGCAACTGTGGGAAGCACCAATCACGTGAATAATCAACACCCATTTTGTGGCTTTGAATCCACAAAATGCAGAAGGCAACCTATTACGATAACTCTGGACTGTTTGGAGGCTACACCTACCCCAAACCAGACTCCTACAACTACGGCCCTGCTCATCAGTCCTATCCTGCTCCTAATATTGACACTGATTATCAGAGTTCAGTGTGTCCTATTCAGAGCTCTGCAGTCAGGCCACCTCCGGCCCTCAAAGACAGTGACCTAAACGGGGACTGCTTGCGGCAAAGCGGTGGCCAGAGCAACACCAACAGCAGCAGTAGCAGCAGCAGCGGCAGCAGCCAAGCGAACGGGATTTCTGAGCAGCAGGTTCCCCCTTTGTCTGCATCCTCCCCGAGCTCCAACAGCTCTGGATCCCAGAAGAAAAAGTCCCCAAATGGCAGCGCGTCAGGGGCGGCCACCCCTGCCCTCACCAAACAGATTTTCCCCTGGATGAAGGAGACCAGGCAGAACTCAAAACAGAAGAACAACAACAGCTGCGCTGCTGCAGGTAGAGATCCTGATGGTGCGTATGTGTGAGTGTGTGGAGACCATGCAGGGCCGGCCTGAGGTATAAGCAAACTTTAACCCCATTGGTCCCCAGAAAATCTTTGTTAGCAGAGATAATATTCGTGTATCTTAACTCTCTATTAAAAAGCATTCTAACATAAAACATTTACCTCTTCTTATTCATTATGATAAACTACTATAAACCAAGAAACTGTATTCATTTTCACCCTGTGTTCTGAACTAAAGGAAATTTAATAGACATCATTACTGATAATAAAATAACAAATAAAATGAAAAAATACGTTTATAAGGAACTCTTGACTATTTATGTACTAAACAATTTGAAGTGACTTGATTGTAACCAAAACATAATGCAATATATTACCATTGATTTATTGAAACAAGGTATTGCATGCAAAAAGTACAAATTCTAAAACATAGAAATATGAACAGAAAGGTGAGAGGTGTTTTGGTGGCTGGTGGATTACCTGGATAGAAGAGCCAAATGAATGTCTCCTTAGATCCTCACTAAACTGTACAATCAAATCCCATTTCTTTCTTTTTTCTGGTCTATATGTTACCAAGTATATATCAGCTGAATGTTCTTGACAAATATCCCTGAGAAGCTAAAATTCTTAGTGCCTAAAGTCTAAAAAGTCAAAATGACTAAGAAGAAAAATGAGGATTAAAGCATGATCAGTGTCTAATGAACTATGCATAGCATAGTTTCTGCAGATTTCTATTTAGATTTTCACTATGAAACTTTAGAGTACCTCAATAATTCTTCATATCTTGGTCCAAAACTGGAAGCCACAGGTAAATCATATGTTTATTCCAACTCTACCCCAACTATATCAGTTCACCTAACCCAAATAAATAAACTGTTAGTAAGAATATATACAAAGTTGGTTGAAAATCTAGTTAAGGTTGCTATTTTTTCCCCTTTTATTTATTTCAAAGCAGGGTTAGTCAAGCCAACATTATCTATAAAGCACAAAAACAAACAAACAAAAAAAAAACTGAGCATAGCAGAATTAACATAAATGTTGTATAGATTTCTAAACTAAATACTTGGAAAAGAATGAAAGACTAATATCGGTCCTTATATACAAAATACACATCCGAAGAATTTCTGAACGATATACAGTCATGGAAATATTCCAATTACTTGATCTATAGGTACCTGAGAAATGCAATAAATAACAACAAACAAACAAAAAAAGTAAACAAACAAAAAGATCCGAACAAAACAAGGGTGGTCTAAAGTTTTTTCCATGACTTCATATACATATCCCCAGAAAACCCTGTGTCTGGTAACGCCCCTGGCCTTGTTTAACCTTGGCCTGGCTCTGTTTGTGTCTTGGCTTTGACATAACTTGCAGCTTAGATGAGCTAATCTTCATTTTGCCAAGTAACGCTAAGGTGATGCTGTGGTTTTCTCCTCAGGTGGAGAGGTGAGCGATGAGAAAAGCCCACCCGGACCAGCCTCCAAGCGGGTCAGAACTGCTTACACCAGCGCGCAGCTCGTGGAGCTAGAGAAGGAGTTTCACTTTAACCGCTACCTTTGTCGCCCACGGAGGGTGGAGATGGCCAATCTGTTGAACCTCACCGAGCGCCAGATAAAGATCTGGTTTCAGAACAGGAGGATGAAATACAAAAAGGACCAGAAGTCTAAGGGTCTGGCACACTCCCCTATGGGACACTCCCCGGACAGAAGCCCCCCGCTGAGCGGGCCCAATCACACCGGATACGGAGGCCAGCTCCAAAACGTGAACACCCTGAGCTACGACGCACCCTCACCGCCGCCCTTTGCCAAACCCCAGCAGAACATGTATGGTCTGGCCGCTTACACGGCGCCTCTGGGCGGCTGCCTCCCTCAGCAGAAGCGCTATCCGGGTTCTGAGTATGAACACCACGGCATGCAGAGCAACGGGGGCTTCGCCAACGCCAATTTGCAAGGCAGCCCCGTGTACGTGGGTGGGAACTTTGTTGATTCCATGCCAGCCTCGGGCCCCATGTTCAACCTCGGCCATCTCCCCCACCCATCATCCACCAGTGTGGACTACAGCTGTGCCGCTCAGATCCCAGGAAACCACCACCACGGACCGTGTGACCCCCACCCCACGTACACAGACCTCACCTCTCACCAAGTTTCTCAGGGAAGGATTCAGGAAGCGCCTAAACTGACGCATTTGTAATATTACGACGTTTCTTGTGCGTGCGCGTGTTTGTGTGTAGGGGTGGGTGCGAGTGTGTGTATTTTTGTGCCAAATTACGTTGCGCTCTTTTTTATTACCTCACTAGGCTATTAACAACGCTCCGAGCGAGCTCTGTGTACTATGACAGTATTATTGATATTATTATTATTAATGCTATTGTGTAATTATTTTCTAAATAATAGAGCTTTCTCCATTTCTCTTAAATTTTTTGAGAAGCTAGCCTAATTGTTGATAGTTATTTCTATTTCTTTTTTTTTTCTTTTTCTTTTTTAACCTTTTGGTTTATTCTCAAGTGCAATGCGCAATGTTTGACTGAATATTTCATTCCGTTACTTGAAGGTAAGTATTGTAGATCACAAAAAGTAGAATCTCATCCTTAGATGGAAAGATTTGTTTTGGAAAAATGACAAAAAATTGACTGTTTGTTAAAGGATCTCATTTTCATCATCTTATTTATTTATTGCGTCATTAATTTAGCATAATCCCCGGCACTATAGCATATAGCCTATTTAATTATTTAATTGCTTTTGTATTGCACATTATTTATCGTTCATTATGCGAGCTATTTATAAGTGTGGATTTGCGTTCCCGGATTGGACAGAGCGGTGCACTTGTTGGGCAAAACAGGGTTTGTTTCTTTATTTTTATTTTTTTTAAAGAAATGATACGACTTAAAGAAAGGAGGATTTCGAGCTGTATAAATCTGAGACTGGGGGATATTTATGGAAAGTAAAACATGTCCACAGTTAATCTTGTGTCAAAACCTTAAGTGAAACGTAGACTATCGCAAAAATCAAATACGCACACCAGCATGTCATTTTGTGTAGTCCTTTGCGTTTTTATTATTCTAATAATTTGCCTTCCATTGTTATTCCATTCAGTTGGACATCCATAAATTACGAAACTCCGATGATATTGAAATGTTATATTTTATTGTGTTTAACATTTTGTAAATAAAGTGCTTAAACTTGTATTTTCAAATTGCATTTTGTTGACTTCTGAACAAAACGCTGCAGTTTCTCCAACGCCAAGAAGGTTTATTGAGCCACAGCCTTTACTGTATAGTCCAAACAGGCAGAGAAGATCAATAATTAGACACCAAGATATCTAAAACTCATCAAATGCTTTATGCTCCCAATACAAAGCCGATCTTAGCAAAATAAAAGGCTCGCGGGATTATTGATGTTTTATTGGTATGTAGGGGAGTGAGTCTATGGGTTATTGCATCCTCCACATGTCACTTATCATATTTTAAGACTCGACCACAGGATTAGGCCACCACCCCATCCCACCCCTCACCACCACCAACCTTGCAATACAGAGTAGAAAATAACCGCAATTTTCCTGTAAAGAAGGGGGTGTAACCTGTGGCCGTTTAATTGATTTCAAAATACTAATAAAGAAGATTGGTGCCAATAAGAGCAGAATAAGAAAATACACGGTGGTGCTTTGACATTGGGAGAGACTGGAGGTGTGTGTGTGTGTGTGTGTGAGCGAGAAAGAGAGAGAGGGGGTAGAAAGAGCAGTTCATCCTTTATTGCTCCTGGAGAGCCATTTCAAAGCTCATTAATCAAAAACTCGTCGCTTTCAGGCTCCTCGCTGGTCCCCCCCTTCATGTGAACAAAGCATTTGCATTCCAAATCCAAGAAACACATTTCTTACCGAGCCGATCTTGGATGGTGGGGGGAGAGAATTTAAAATAAAAGGGAGAGAGAGAGATGTTCTGGTTTTCCCTAAGATGATAGATCCTGGGATTTAAGAGCGCATGAAGGCAAATGAAACTCTTGTCACATAAATGATCAGCGGCTTTAAATCTGCACAGGTTCACAGTCACTTTCATTCCCTTAAACTTTCCCTCATGTCAGACAGCCGTCTGAGCACGCAGTTAAAACCAATCCCCTCAAACAAAAGCTATTAAATTGATCTGATCTTTCAAAACAAAGAGTCAGACTGAATCATTTGAGCTACGGGGGTGGCAGTGGTGGTATAGTGTGTGTGGGGGGTGAGGGGTGCTGCAGATCAGTGTTTAGGGAAGGCGGCCATTTTACCCCTGCTGCTCTCTCCTCTACTCCACTTTCTACTATATGAAATTCTTAGTCCCCCAAAATATTGGTTTGATCACATGAAAACTATTTAATTGTCCAGGGCTATAAAAATGTATTTAAAAAATAAAAATCCATCTACTGATTGAAATGTGTAGTAGCTATACAGCTGCAAAAAGGAGATATCCAATTAAAAATAAACATCAGAATGGCTTCTTGGAACAAATAGATTCTAATACTGTTACACTGATAAAGAACAACACAATCCAAAAAAACTGCTAAAACTTAAGCCAGTATGACCAGTTTAGCAATTTTCAGATTTTTTTTTAAAGATAATATTCTAAATATTTGAGAGTAGATATAATATGTAACAGCTTAGACACTAAAAGATAAAGCAATACTTATCAGGTTTTACTCAACCACCTTAATGGCTTTAATCATCGAGATAAATTTAGTTTGCTTTGTAAGGAACAGAAAAAACAATAAACAATATTAAAATAAGCAATGAAAATACAGTTTTTGATCAAGTGTTGCTGAATCAGACTTTTGAATTCTACCCTAACAACATGGCATGACAACCGTTTCCCTGACAACCACAGCTAAGATGTGTCTTTCAATGTGGAAGAGCTATAGGCTTTGGTAGCGAGTTTGACTTTAGCATAGTATCATGGCTAAATAAGTGAAAGTTTAACCCTGAAATGAATTCCTGTCAACATAGAAACGTTATCAACTGCAGGTGTAATGAAGGTTTTTATAATGACTTTGTTTTGTTTTTTCTAGACCAAATATGTTTTACTGTCTGACATTATATTAGCCTACACTAACCCTTTACTGCTTTGTGTTAGATAGTTCTACTAGCATTATTGCCATTTGCTAAATGCCAAGATATTGATTAACATTTATTTTAAATATTTAGGACATCCTTAAGCTGGTCCATAGCTTACATAACTGGTGTAACTGTCCAGTTTCTTTGCCACCTAATTTTAACTTTTCACACAAGTTTTCTTTGTCACCAGAGTATAGACTTTGTGATGGCCACTCCAAAACTCTGACTTTAGTGCCCTTAAATTACTGTTGCTCATTTGTATCTAATAAAAGGACAATTGATCAGGAAAATCCTTTTTATGCTTAAGGTTTAACCCCCTAAACAAAGTCTTACATTTTCTTTACTCTTTCCACATACTTTTATTCCACATATTATCTATTTTAGTAGTAGTGCACTGGTCCCTCCATCAGGATGCTGCCACCTTACTTCAGTTAAGTTGGTGTTATCAGACATCCAAGCTTATATCTTTCTTTCTCAAGTCATAATTATAGCCATGTTTAATTGAATTTAATTTAATGTTGTTTTTTCATAAAATTCATCAAGACAGAACAATTTTACTGCGGATAAGAGCCTTACATGCTTTGACCAGCATCTTCAAATATTTGCCTTAGTTCTGAAGTTGATATGACCACTTTGCACCAAAATGAAAGCATTTCTCAGACTAGACATTGCTGTTTATAATCACAATTTGAATAAAGCTAATACATTCTTCCATTGTTCCGAAATGCAGCAAATAGAAATATTGGTCATCTTAACAGACCTAAAGGCAGGAAACCTTTTTATCTTGGTTAACCTCAGGCATAAAGTAAAAAAAAAAAATGTTTCTTTGTGTATGTAAAGATATGGTTTCTTCTGTGTAGCTATTTGCAATACACTGAAATGCCTCTTTGCACACAATAAAATAACATTTTAAGTGATCAAAAAACATATTTGAATGAATCCAATCTAAATGTTTAGGCATTTTGTCACCATATTGCTAGAATTTAGTGATTATCGAAATCTACTTGTATGCAAATTCAATAGTTTTATTGGCAAAAATGTAATGACCTCCAAGATGTTTGTTATAGTAGGCCTATTTGCTGCGTGCACTCAAGATCAAATGTAAGAATCTGTCATGGGGGAAAAAAAAAAGGCTTCACCTCATTTAGAAAATGCAGCAGCACAGTTCCTTTGCTTGGAGCTGTTTTGTAAAAGAGAAATAATGGCAGAACGGAGCTCACTATAAAGGCGTTGGAATGTGCATGCAAATAGACCAAAATTTATTATTATTGCGATGAATATAAGCAATGGGGCATGTTTAATTTTCTTAGTCTAATTACATGTTTGATTGTAATACCCATTTATTTTTTTAAGTAGCTTACATTTTTTAACTAAATCAATCCAGAAGAACTCCTGCGCGTGGAGTTCATTTTGTATCCATGATTGGACACGAGCCGATCAGACCACGCCCTCCCCGTGGAGGCTGATATTTACATCCGTGGAAGTGGACCAACTATTAATGAGAAAAAGACGTTCTGATGGCCTTTAAACTCATATACGCACAGGATTTGGCGGAAAGATCACGCTTCTGATTGTTTTTTAAAATCATTATTATTTTGTAATAAACTGAACCAAATCCGACGGACAGAATATTTTCTACAAGGTCTACACTGGAGGTAGGCAGCTTCTGATTTCCGATTTTCAACTTATTGGCTGTACTGCGGGGAGAAGCATCCATTCATAGTGAAGCAAAACCCTTCAATCATCTCTCCAGGAAAGCTGGGCTGCACATCAGCGCTCCAGGATCACGTCGCAATGACTCCTCAGCAAGTGAGCATCATCCAGTCTTAAATTGCATTAGGCTATAGAGCAGCCATTGTTGGTTGTTTTAAGGGATTGTTAGAGATTTGAGAAGAAGGAGGAAAAAAAATGGTCAGACGTTTGGGGACAAAAACAGTTTTTCTGCTTTATCTCCAGCCGCCTTTGTTCTTTTGTTAAGCGCCTCCTGTTCTGCTTTGTTGTCATCGCATCTTATTGTGGATTAGAAAGCTCCGGCAAAAGACTGGATTTCCAAGGGACACCAGCTCAACTGATATATGAAAGACATTTGCTTGTGATTAATGAATTTCAGGGCTTATTTGATTCTATTGTCGAGTTTGATCTTAGCTCAGAAAATTGTATTTTTTATAAATGCATGTTTTTTTACTATGAAAAGCTAAAATATGATAAAATGCTTTTAAGCAGCAAATTGCATTGATGTTGAGGAAGATTTATTTTTTATTTTTTTGCATATATCAAGAACAAACATTATAAGATAACCTAACCTAAGCCAAATAAAGTGATTTAAATCATGTTTAATGGGGAATTTTGTCTCAACCATTCATTTGAGGGTTGTGCTGATAATATGATAGAATAAGTTTCTGTTGTTTTTTCTCAAATTCTAATTTCTTATGGTTTTGATTTTGAATAAAACGGCTGCAAAATATTTACAGCAAACTTTGTGTTCAGCTGCGTTAAAAGAAGACTTCATAACTCCTGGACAAGACAAAATCATCCAGTATGTATTCTTCTTTAATGTTTTTTTGTGTGTTTCATGTATCTAAATCCATGTGACCCCGCTGGATGTTTTTGGTCTCTCACAAGGGATTCTGATTTTCACAAATAAAAAAAAATAAAGATTGATTAAAACCAGTGTGTCTTATTGTGAAATATTTATCCCAATCTTAACTCTTGTTTTTTCTAAGTCACTTAACTGAAGGTATTTTCCTAAAAAGGTCAGTATATATCTTCCTATGGTCTTTATTTCACACTTTTTCCTCTTTAAACCATTTGGTTTTGTGTGTAACTCTAAATGTGGATCACACACCCTGACCATCTGCTGCAACAGAGGACGTTAATGTCAGAGGACACCGCCATCACCAGTCCTTCACTCTGTGGCCTCTGTTGTCATTAAACATTCACTCCAGTGTGTGTGTGGCTGAATGGGCAGAGGTGACAGACGCTTTGTCACTGTATGGGGAGGGCATCTGGGTTTGTTTGATAACTCACAAAGTCCACAGTGAGCTGCAGCGTTTCAATGCCTGGACACATCCCATCATGTTTATGTCTCAACATTTGGTTGCAGAGGGATGCAT